ACTCTGAAATTCAGCACAGGATTAGCAGCGCCTCAAGAGCATTCCGGAAATTAAAAGACAGGGTTTTCTAGAATCATGACTTGAGTACAAAAACAAAACTTGCAGTATACCGAGCAATTATAATCCCCACCATGTTATATGGGAGCGAAACCTGGGTGCCGTACCGCCGACACATGAACGCATTAAATAAGTTGCAACAGAGACACCTTAGACAACTATTAAGAATCCGGTGGTTCCATCATGTCTCAAACGTATCGGTCCTTGAAAAATCTAACTGCGAGAGTATTGAAGTCATGGTTACAAAATCCCGCTTAAGATGGGCTGGTCATGTATGCAGAATGCAAGAAAACCGCATACCAAAATCTCTGCTTTACGGTGAGCTTGTAGATGTAAGGGGAGGCCGGGTGGACAACTGAAAAGGTACAAGGACATTTTCCACGAAAACTTAAAGGGGATTAACATGCAGAATCATTGTGAAGAAGCAGTTCACAATAGAACTCAATAGAGAAGAATTGTAAACTCAGTTAACAGCGACAACCAAAAAGTAATGAGGCAACAAAGCAATGAGATTTTTGAATGTCCGGAGTGCGGTAGGTAAATAACATCACATATCGGGCTTTTCAGTCACAGAAAAGCTCATGAAAGAAAACGCCTTGCGCAAACATCTTCTAATGCGTGTCGAATACTCGTCGGCGAGTAATGGTAGTATGTTTGTATATGTAAATTCAAGAGCGCCTTTCTATCTTCGAAATAAATATTCCATTTTAGTTCCTGGACTGCTATTTTGATAAGTATACAATATTAAAAAAATAGAACAATTTGTTTCAACCGCCCCCTTCCCAGGGGCGTTTTAAACAGTGATCGAGATCAGTGAAACGCATGCAAACAAAATATAATATTGAAACATATATTATTCAACGTTAATTCTAATTGTAAGAATTAATTATTGCCAATTAATCAGTCTTCAGTATTTTAATATCTATAAAAATAGTTGGGGTAATTAGTTTTCAACAAGTAAAAAACATTTAAGTATGTAAGTGAAAAAAAAAGTAAGAAAATTAAGTAAAACAAGTAATGCCCGCTACACACGTAACGATATATCGTAGCGATTTCAAACTGCACAGATAAATCGAATACCCCTAGTGTCTCCACATGTTGCAGATATCTGCGTCGATCGTCAGTTCTCCACAGAAATTCGCGCGGAAACATGTCATCGGCAATAACAGAACTTGATGAAGATGCATTCGCATTTTTGGGCTTGATGATATGCTTAAAGAAAAAAGTCACGTAGGGTGTGGTGTAAAGACTGGCATCTAAAACGGAAGTCATAGTCTCATATAAATTTATTAAATAAACATTTTGATTTTGGTTTGATTTGCCAAAAGCAAGTTTCATTTCTGTAACATTAACATTGTATAAATTCTTCCAATTGCTTACGGTGTCCCCTTTGATCTTGTTCCGACATATTTTAGGACTAGGACCTTTCCATGGACGTGTGCGTATTCTGAGTTTGTCTAATAGCCCATCCTCTCATAAATTCAACGATCGTTCGGATCGATCGTTGTCGCCATATACACGCAACGATAAAACTGCGCAAACGCAATCGACAACGGTTTATCGAATAGAAATTGCAACTACCGCCGATCATCTGTGCAGATGAAAATATCTGCAACGATTTATCAGACATACGTTCGATAAAACTGTGCAAATTGACTGTACAGATAAATCGCTACGATAAATCGTTGACGTCTGTAGCGGCCATAAGAGAAATAGTTAATATCTACAGTATTGTTTAATACAAAGCTGTTTAATGAAAATAATTTGAAAAGAAACTAAAAGGAAAGATTTCAAAAATCAGACATAAATCAACTGCTATTTACTGTTCCAACTGTGTACCCATAAAAATTGTTTCAACCGATAATACCTGTCATGATTTTGTATATACCAAACCAAACCAAACAGACAAGTAGTGACAGTGCCTACCTGGTGTTTAAAAAAAATCGTGGGGAGATTCTTTACATAAAAATAAGTATTATTTTTTTTATATCAACATAGGCCAGGTTATGCGTTTCGTAGCTACAAATGGTTAGTCTTAATTTTTTTCAATTTATTATAATTTTCTTCCTTATTATAAAGTTCTTTTCGAATGAAATTTTGAGGGTAAAAGTTACTATAAGTGCGACATGTTTTAATGCTAAAACTAAAATGGTTTGGTTTGGTTTGGTTTGGTTTGGTGTTACCACTGAAATATTCAAAAACCTATACACCACTGACTTTTTCTCTTGTTAGCACTATTGTGTAGACCGTTTAATACCAATTAAAAGTTGTCTTTTGATATTATATTGTCGATATCGGTCTCCTTGATGAGATAAACGCAAAGGATAAACGCAATTTTATTAATTTTCCTTAATCCAAGTCTAATAGCAACCTTTAAAAATTTTAATGTCATTAACTAGCCGAAATGAAAGTTAAATAAGTACAAAAAATATGGAAAAAGTTTCTATAGCATGGTGCGAAAATGCATAGTTTTAATGTTACAGGATGTTAAAACTTTAAAAAATATATACAGGGTGGTCCGTCCGAACTGTATTCCGGAAACTTCGGGAGCATATTCTGCAGATAAAAAGAAGTAAAAAACTTCTTATAAATATATGTCCTAAAATGCTTAGTTTCGGAGATACAGGGTGTAGAAGTTTCATTTTTATTTCGATTTTTTCCAAATAATTTCTGAAGTAAAGTAAATATTTGGATGAAAATTGGTATCTAGTAGTTTTTTGACTTGAGAAATTTGATTTTGATGTTATTATGACTCCTATTTGTAGAGGGCGCCGTCTACATGTGATTTAATTGTTTTGAATAGTAATAACTTTTTGTCCGTATCTGTATAGAACTGCTGAGTTAAAAAATATACATTTTCGTATTTTTTTACGTAAAAAATGTCTCTTGGTAAAAATCGTTACGAGCAACCCTTCTCGAGATATTTAGAATGGAAATAGTCAATACATGTCATTATTGACAAAAAATAAACACGTCGCACGTCGAGTAGATAGTTATTGGACTAAAAAGATAAATTTGGAAAATTTTTATTTTTTAAATTAATCATAAAATTTTCTTCGAAAAAATGATGATTGGCACAAAAACATTTCAAATTTATGATTTCCGTCTACTAACTATTTAGTCAACATGTTTAATTTATGTCAATCATGACAGGTATTGATAATTTCGATTTCAAATATCTCGGGAACTATTACTCGTAGCGATTTTTATTAAGAGATCTTTTTTACGTTAAAACGTCGTAAATGTATATTTTTTTACTTAGTAGTTTTATACAGGTACGGACGAAAAGTTATTACTCTTCAAACCAATTAAAAATATGTAGGTGGCGCCCTCTACAAGTAAGAGCCATATTGACATCAAAATCGAATTTCTCATATCAAAAAACTCCCAGACACCAAATTTCATCCAAATATTGATGTTACTTCAGAAATTATTTGGAAAAAATCGAAATAAAAATGAAACTTTTACACCCTGTATCTCCGAAACTAAGCATTTTAGGACATACATTTATAAGAACTTTTTTACTTATTTTTATCTGGAAAATATGTTGCTGAAGTTTCCGGAATACAGTTCGGACCACCCTGTATATAATTTTGTAATTAATTTAAATACCATTATTTTTTTATTTTCTCTAGTGCTAGAGGTTAACATGGTGTTATAAATTGTAATAATAAATTAGATTAAATAAATAATTTATATACCGGGTGCGTCTCAAAAGTTGCTCACCCCTATAACTTTTTTATTTTTTCAGATAAAATAACGAGATTTGGTATGTTAGTATATGACATAAATTAAGATTGCTTAACGTATTCAATTGTTTTTGGTCACTTCCTCTTTCACCGGAAATGTCTACAACTTTTGATTTTTAAATGGCACACTCGGTATTTTTTTACTTTATTCGATAGAAAATGACATTCTGAATAGAATAACATAATATCATATGTCAACTTTTGATATTTTCGCATATGGTTATATTTGAAATTATAACTTGCGGTTCGTAACGAAAATTTGACTCGAAATACCAAGTGTGGTTTCAAATTATTCATAAAACAATGCTTTTTCCAAATATGCTAATGGGCCATCCATGTTCCATTTGAAAAAATTGAGATATGATTAAAAATACGATTTGAGCATTTTCTAACTGGCCAGGAAAAGACACTAAAAACATTAGATGATCAAATCTATTTTTCCAAGGCTCTTTGATTAAGGATTGGTGTTTTTAACATAGCCACTGCACTCTAGATTGAATTTTAAAATACGATATTTTATTAAGCGGGAATGTCAAAAGTTGACATATTATGATATGTCATTCTATTGAGAATGTCATTTTCTATCGAATAAAGTAAAAAAATACCGAGGGTGCCATTTAAAAATCAAAAGTTGTAGACATTTCCGGTGAAACAGGAAGTGACCAAAAACAATTGAATACGTTAATCATTCCTAATTTATGTCATATACTAACATACCAAATCTCAGTTATAGAGGTGAGCCACTTTTGAGACGCACCCGGTATATCATTTATTTTTTTTGTGATTATTAAAATTGGGTTTATCTCATTAGTGAGATTGAAATCGACTAAATATCAAGATCGTTTAATCGGAATTAAACGGCCTGCACAATTTCGCTAACAAGAGAAAAAGTCAGTAGCGCACATGTTTTTTTTTAGAAAAATATTCTAGTGATAACCCATATGCACGTCCCTGGTAGATCTGTCAATATCTAAGATTTAAGTCCCTTACTTGCAACAAGTATTCTTTTGGTGTTTGTAAGGAGTAGTTTAAAATAAAATAAAATAAATAAATAAAAATTAAATCTTATTTTTACGTGATTTAGAATTATTAATCTCTCCACGTGAGATGGGACATTTTTTTTAAATACCCTGTATTACTTTTATACTTTATAAAATGTACGATTTCTATGTATTGCATTTTTCTTTAATTTAGAACCATGGGTCCCTTAAAGGAAGAGTACGCTACCTTATCGTATAGAACCCAGTCTCAAGTTCCGCAGCACATCAGACACAGAAGAACGGCATCGGAAGCAGCACCGAGAACTTCGGGAATGTCCGGCCAACTGATGTCCGGAGGGCGTCCTGACGTACTACCAGGTGAACAGGAGGATATTACCGACGGCTATGATAGAGTCGGTGGTACGGAATTGAGAAGAAAAGACTCCGTAGCCAGAATGACTTGGAATGGCTTAAATTATGTGGTTACGGTAGGTAACAATTCCAATTAATCATAAAACGAAATAATTTATATGTTAGATTCTTTGTTTGTTCTATATGGATAAAATAAAAGTCTGAGATAACTTGCACTGAGTAACTATCTATCTATAAACTGTGAGAACTATGTTATTATCATATTCAGATGTATTTTTTACAGTTTCACTATATAGATAATTTTTATGCAAATGTTACAGACACTTACGAGGCATAAGCAACATCCTAGATCGCAGCAAGGGAATTGGTCACGGAGCTTTCCACCCGAAACTGAACAGCAGTCACCGGTCAACCAATTACCATCCCCCGAAGAAGAGGCAGAAGCATTTTTCGAAAAACCTGTTGAAGTGATCAGTAATGAAGATACTGTAGATCGGCCTTCCAAACCTGCCGACGTACCTAGGTATGTCCCAACATTCTTTATCAATTATTGATTATGTTCCAACAGTGAATTCAAAATTCACTTCTATTCAAAATTATTTTGAACAAGTCTACACCGAATTAAAGACTTTTTAAATGTTATGTCAACTAGTAAACAACTTATTTTTGAAGTGAAACTTCTTACGCGCGTTGGGAGTAAAAATTGAGCGAGACGCATGCCTGCGAGACGGCCGTGACGTGCGTGCTAGCGAGAGGAAAAGTGATAGCGGCAGTGTTGCCACAGCTACCTCATTCGGGGTAGATCTATAATCCCTTTGGTAAACAATTTAACCCCGTTATTTCGTGATAATCTACCCCGATGAAAAATATGCTTGTGGCAACACTGGGTACCGATCTGTGCCATACGCGGCTAAGAAAATCACTATAATAAACGTGTAAGAAACTTGAAACTGTACCAACCTTGATTTCATGCATAATTTCATCGATAGGTTTGCAACATTTTGAATAACGGTCTAGGTAAAGTATCTAGTTCATTTGCCAGCTCAGAATTAGAATTTAGAGTTAGTAACTCGCATTTTCATTGGAGGACATTATTATATTTATTTCAAACCAATAATCAACGAGAATATTCGTATAATTTAATAAAATTACTGTAAATCACTATAAATAATAAATTGTTTGTAATTGTGCTGTAAATTCTGTATTATTAACCCGGTAAATGATGGAGATAAACAATTGTGATTGACTAAAATTTTATTTTAAAATTAAACTTTTGTTAACAGCATTCTGAGAATTCGAATAATGAATTGAATAATAATATATATAATAGCATTCATAAAAAAATATATATTATACAAGTGACATCTGTCTAAAAAAGACAGCGATTTAGAGTCACAATTTGGTTATGTAAAGTTTAGAGTGACAATTTTGATTATGCAAAAGAAATACTGGTTGCCTAACGATTAACATTAATTCAAAAATAAATCCCGAACATAAATAATAAACAAAACATTTAAACAAAAACAGACCACAAACAACACACAAAACAAATTTTTGTAGTAGTCAGATGTATACGTAGTAGTATTTTAGTTTAATGGCCACAGCTATCCGGCCGGGTAATAGAATTATCGTTTTTTTAATAAAAATTATAAAACACTATACAATTATAAAGCTAGAATAGTATACGGTTTTATATTAACTCTATTTTTTTTTGAAGTTTACAAAAAGCATTTATAAAAAATTCCGATCCATGACATTCCCCATATAATCTATACTAATATCACAGATAACGCATAATCAATTATGTGTTATCTGTGCTAATATATAAAATCCTTAAGTGACTGACATACTGATTAATCACGATCCTGCTCAAACCACTCAACGTAAGAAGCTCAATTTTGGCATACAGGTTGATTCTAGGGTGTAGAGGTTCGATAAGAAGGGATTTTTCGAAATTCCAGTTCCAAGAGGGTGAAACCACCCCTCAAATATTACAATATTTTTTATTTAAAAAACGGTCAAGTTTCCGAAAAAACGTTTAAACACGTATTTTATTTTGTTTTTTTACATATTTTAAGATTTTTTAAAAATGTATACAGGGTGTTTCGAAAAATCTGGTCATTGATTAATCACGATCCTGCTTAAAGCGCTTTACGTAAAAAGCTGATTTTTGGAAAACAGATTGACTTTAGGGTGTAGAGGTTACGTTAAGAAGGGATTTTTCGAAATTCGAATTCTAAGGGGGTGAAACTATCCCTCAAATATTAAAATATTTTTTATTTAGAAACCGGTGAGTTTTTCGGAAAAACTCTTCAATACTTATATTTTATTTTGTTGTTTTACATATTTTAAGATATTTTATAAATTTATACAGGGTGTTTTATAAAATATGACCATTGAGTAATCACGACTCTGCTTAAACTGCTTGACGTTTAAAGCTGATTTTTGGCAAACGGATTGACTGTGGGGTGTAGAGGTTCTCAAATTCCAAGAGGGTGAAAACGTCCCCCAAATATTACAATATTTGTTATTTAAAAAACGGTTAGTCTTTCGAGAAAACGCTTGGACAAGCATAATTTATTTGGTTTTTTTACATATTTTGAAATGTTTTAAAAAATCATACAGGGTGTTCCAAAAAGTTGGGTAATTTCTTAACCACGATTCTGCTTAAACTGCTTGACGTAAAAAGCTTAGGTCGGTCAAGTTTGCCCCCCGTACTAGAGGAAATTCAAAGAGAGATATACCACTGTTTTGCACACATTTTGCACAATTTTGCATACTATAAATGATATTTTGCACACTTACCTAAAAGAAACTAGAGCGGTTTTTTTACGGGGGGCAAACTTGACCGTTCCCCCCCTTTTGTTACGAAATTGATTTATTTCTATGTACATCGATTCGGCTAATTTTGCACAATTTTGCACACCTATTTTTAAATTTTGCACACCCTCCTGACGAAAGTTGTAAGGGGTTGAAAATTTAAAATTTCCCCCCATCTGTGACTAAATTGAATTTCGTTAATATCAAACGAATCGGCTAATTTTGCACAATTTTGCACACCTATTTTAGAATTTTGCACACCTTCCTGACGAAAATTATGAGGGTTTGAAAATTTGCAATTTCCCGATGCAGATGCAGATGCAGATGCAGATGCTACGAAATTGACTTTTGCTTATATCAAACGAATTGGCTAATTTTGCACAACTTTGCACAGCTACTTTCGAATTTTTCACACTCTCCTGACAAAAGTTATAAGGGGTTGAAAATTTAAAATTTCCCCCCCATCTGTGACTAAATTGAATTTCGTTTATATCAAACGAATCGGCTAATTTTGCACAACTTTGCACAACTATTTTAGAATTTTGCACACCTTCCTGACGAAAGTTATGAGGGTTTGAAAATTTGCAATTTCCCCCCCATCTGCTACGAAATTGAATTTTGTTTATATTAAACGAATCGGCTAATTTTGCACAATTTTGCACACCTTCCTGACGAAAGTTATGAGGGTTTGAAAATTTGCAATTTCCCCCCCATCTGCTACGAAATTGACTTTTGCTTATATCAAACGAATTAGCTAATTTTGCACAATTTTGCACAGCTACTTTCGAATTTTTCACACTCTCCTGACAAAAGTTATAAGGATTTGAATATTTGAAATTTGTCCTATTTTGTTGTGAATTGTCCCATTTAAAAAACATAAGTATGAGTCATATTTGAAAATGATAGATCTCAGCGACGTGGAAAACTGTAAGGAACCCAGACTTCACCTTTTCGATAAGTTATAGGATAACCGAAATATGCGGGTTGTCAAAAATGCAAAATTTTCAAATTTGCCAGGTATTTCAGGAAGTAAGAGGGCTAGGACAAATCTGTGTGTAGAATCTTTAGTTTCATAAATGTTCTTCTATGCAAGCTATAAATTATCGAAAAGGTGAAATCTAAGTTCTGTGCAGTTTTTCACGTCGCTGAGATCTATCATTTTCGAAATATGACTCATACTTATGTATTTTTAAATGGGACATTTCACACGCAATGGGACAAATTTCAAATATTCAAACTCTTATAACTCTTGTCAGGAGAGTGTGCAAAATTCGAAAATAGCTGTGCAAAATTGTGCAAAATTAGCCGATTCGTTTGATATACACAAAATTCAATTTCGTGACAGATGGGGGGGATATTGCAAATTTTCAAACCTTCGTAACTTTAATCAGGATGATGTGCAAAATTCAAAAACAGGTGTGCAAAATTGTGCAAAATTAGTCGATTTGTTTGATATAAACAAAATTCAATTTAGTCACAGATGGGGGGGAAATTTCAAATTTTCAACCGCTTATAACTTTCGTCAGAAGGGTGTGGTTTGGTTTGGTTTCAAAATTCAAAAACAGATGTGCAAAATTGTGCAAAATTGGCCGAATCGATGTACATAGAAATAAATCAATTTCGTAACAAATGGGGGGGAACGGTCAAGTTTGCCCCCCGTTTGAAAAACGGCCCTGGTTTCTCTTAGATAAGTGTGCAAAATATCATTTATGATGTGCAAAATTGTGCAAAATGTGTGCAAAATAATGGTATATTTTTTTTTGAATTTCCTCTAATACGGGGGGCACACTTGTCCGACCTAAAAAGCTTATTTTTGGCAAACGGATTTTTCGAAAGTCCAATTCCAACGAGATGAAACTACCCCTCAAATATTACCAAGTTATATAATAATATCGTCATATTGTTTTTTCTCATGCTGACATAAATGTGAGAAAATTTTATCCAGTTTGTATGTTAATGTAAATTCTTGCTTTGCTTTATCATCACCATTACAAATGATTAATTCGACGCGAACGAAGTCGCTGGTACACGCTAGTAATACATATAAAGTAACAGCGATCTCTCATTTCATAACCATCGTTAACGCAGTTTTTTTTTTCGATCATACTGTATATACTCGGGCCTATTTCAGGAAAACATTTTAACTTTTACAGGGTGGCTCAAAGAGGTGTGAGCGAATCGGGATGAGTTTTTTAAATAGAAGTATATTGTTGCATTTTTGGTTTCCTTCGTGATCACTTTACATAGCCTTAAGATGTTATTAAATTTGTTTATATGTGTATTATAAACAAATTTAATAATTATTAAATTAAATTTGTTTATAATAAATAATAAGAAAAAGGTTTGCATACTATAGTTTGTCTGTACTTACTTTATTATAAATATCGTAATCTTAAATCATATCGGGTGTTCAAAATTGTATGCCAAATTTTCTAAAATATAAAATTTTACTACGTTTTTTTAAATACAAAGCAAACTGGGATACCGTTAAAAATGTTGAAATACTTTAAATACAACAAGTATTCATATTTTAATTCTCCATCTAAAAAAAATAATATAGAGGGTATTCTATTAATTAAAAAACACAGAACAATAATTATTTTAAAAAAACTAAACGTTCTCTAACCCAGTGTGAGTACATATTATCAAAGTAAAACCTCTGAAGGCGGGTAAGGGGACAAACAACTCACAATCTTTTAAAAGGTAAAGATTGTGAGTTGTTTGTCCCCTTACCCGCCTTCAGAGGTTTTACTTTGATAATTATTTTATATTTCGGAAAATTTGGCGTAGAATTTTGAACATCCTGTACCAGTAAATACCCAATTATAGTAAATATATAGTATAGTTTTGATTTCAGGACATTTCTTGTATTTTTAATAATTTTTTAAGCTGAAAACATATGTTTTTTATTTATTTAGTGATATTTATTTAGTGATCGAACCTTGTTCGAATTAGCTAAATCTGACTAGAAATGTTTGAAGTTGTGAATTTACTATTTTCATTCATCTGAGTTTCTATAATTAGGTCCTATTGCAACCTCTCTGTTATATATTTAATATCCTGAAAGTGTGAGAATCATACTCCCAGACCTCTCTGAGCTTCCATGCATATGTCACTGGATATACCTAATTTCATATTATTATCATACAATTCCAGATACTCAGCTGCCGCAGGCATAAACTGGCCTAGGGATCACGATGTAGTTCTCAGACATGCTCAACACAGGACAACAGTTGGATCGTCTCATATACCAACTTCTATTTTAGACAACGTATTAGACAATTCCAATCGAAAACAATATGGAACTGGATGGATCGGACGAGTGTTCGGGTAAAAAACTTTTTTATTTTTACCGAATTGCATACCTATTATATTATTTCTAGGAATTCGTATCGAAAATCTGTAGTGGGAGACGCAAGAATTCAAGCTCAAATCGATGACATGGACGATAACAGACCGTTTTTTACGTACTGGGTAACGGCAGTCCAGATATTAGTACTATTAATATCAATATTATGTTATGGTCTTGGACCATTCGGATTCAACTTACAAGCACGATCTGGACAAGTGTTAGTCACGAGTTTAAGTCTGCAACAAGTCGATTACATGGAACCCGCTAATTTTTGGTAAATATACTGTTTACATCATCACTAGCATTCACAGCTTCTCGTGTATATTAGTTACAATTTTCTTTTGTCTCGCAGTACTTTAACTATTCTAAGTTCAAGTTCCATTCATTTTTACTATTTTCAGCTAATATATTGCTATGTGAAATGTATTGCGGTGAAATTATGTATTTTTCTTAAGATTAATAGGATTTTTTATGTTTCTGTTCATCATCTGCTAGTATTTCGCTTATTAAAATTAGGTTTATTGGGAGCGTCTATTAATTACGTTAGGGGATTAGAGGGGGAAGGGGGTTAAGCTAAATCTTTCTAAATCTCAGGTAGGGGAGAGAGAGGATTTTGGCAAATATGATGAAATTTGTTTCGGGTAAAAAATAGGATAAAATGTAAAAAAAACAGATTAATTTAAAATAAAAGATGTTTGTAGACTACAATTTTTCGAAGAACAATTCTTCTATATCGGGCGTTTTTCAAAAGTGGCTCACCTTTATAACTTTTTTATTTATGAGATAACAACCGGTATATTAATTTAGTAGATATATAGAAAATGTGGTCCCCTATTCCTTAAACTCAACGCGCACTAAATTGGTACCAGTCGGTCTACTTAACTAAGATCTATCGACGATTTTCACTTTACATAGAAATAAATGTATATATAACTCCGCGTACTGAATCGGTACGGACGGGTAAGCAACGGCGACTGCGACTATCCTACCACTACTCCAGTGTACTGGCTGTACACTGGACTAGTGAGGCCTTCAGTAACATATTTATCCTTGGTATGGTGGCCTAAGGTAATGCAACAAACAACAATGCTCAGCCTCAGCATGGTGCAAAGACTAAGCATAACAGGGGCAATGAAATCAACGCCCACTGCATCAATGGCGGCGCGTCTGGACCTTCCGCGTCTTTACATAGTGATCCAGGCTGAGGCAAGAATGGGACTCTATTGACAACAAAGTGTGTTGTCTCTGGAAACAGGACACTTAAACATGGGCGATTCTTTCGGGGGACCTCTAATCCAAATGAGATCGGTCCAAATGACCCCTCTTTATCACTACCACAAACCATTCGAGGTAAAAAAATGGATCGAGGAATGTGGAAAGATATAACATTCCTTCAGGATGGACTAACCTGGTATACAGAGGGGTCAAAGGCCGCTGAAGAAACAGGAGCTGGAGTATTTAGGGAAAGAGTAAGGGTAAGCTTATCATTTTCCTTGAGTAAATACTCAACCGTATTCCAGACAGAAATCTTTGTCATTCTACAATGTGCGAGAGAAAATAATAGAAGAGCTTATTCAGGTAAGCTCATCAACATATATGCTGAAACAGTCGGCAAATATTGATGAGGGTCCCAAGCGCCCCAAGCGGCACTTGGGACGCTTATGAGCTTAAAGGTATCGTCAAAACTCTCTGGGAATGCCTAGGTGAACTGGGGCATACTGGGGGCTCTAGCACGAAGGAACAGAATTAAATTATTCTGGGTGCCGGGCCACAGCAGCATCTAAGGCAACGGAAAAGCCGATGAGCCTAGGTAAGGATCATCGGTATGCTATCTTGGTCTAAAGTACTGGGAATACCCAAATGTACTGCCCATAGTGCACTAAAACTTTGGATCAGGGAAAAGCAGAATGTCCACTGGAGAACTACTTTGGACCCCAGGATACTTTGGACTAAGATAGGATGCCGATGATCTTTGCCTAGCTAGCTCATCGGCTTTCTCCAGTGGACATCCAAGGACCTAGCTCTAAGACCGCAAAAGAACCACTAATGCTTAGCAGGAATAAAGTGCGGATTATAACAGGCCCCTTGACAGCGCATAGAGCTGTCAAATGTCACCTGAACAAGCTCAAGCTGTATCAAGGAAGACTTTGCTGCAGACTCTGCGATAAAGATCCTGAAACAGCGGAGCACATAATATGTCACTGCGAGGCTCTGGATCGCAAGCGACACTTTTTATTTGCGAAAGAACTACTGAGAACTTTGGCTAGAACCGGAAGTATGCTCCCATACTCCCATCCTATCAAGGAACCCATAAGTTAGAGCAAGATATGATAATGGGTTGATATATAGAAAGGGGACAAACACAATAGGCCTCACAGGTCGCAGTGTTTCCGGCAGAGGACGGCCCCTTGTTATCGGAAAAAAATCCACTAAAATCCATCCGCGGCAGTTGAAGTTCAACATTTTTGCATTTATAAACTGTCAGTTTCGGTTGTAGGTTAGATTTGGAATTGTGAAAATTTCGAACGTTTTTCTTTCGATTTAAAAATATTTCTGATATTTTTCAAAGTTCAAACATAATAATCCAACATTCCGCAAAATATAAACATTACAAAAACAGACATAATGAAACAACAATAAGGGTCATTTTCCAATGCATATCTTTTCTGTGCTTTACGTGATTGACAGGCGCTTACTCATTGGCTGCCGTTCCAACTGTTGAACGTCGGGAACTGCCGACTTAAATATTAACCATCTCTGAACTCCCCTGAACGTAAAACAAACTGCCAACTTTTCGACTAACTGACTTTATAAATGTGCGCATTCATTTCGTAGTATTAACATTTTCAACGTCAACTGAAGCTTAACTGAACTTCAACTGCTGAGTTTATAAATCCAGCTTATCTCTAATATCTACGATAGTCGAGTCACCACCGTCGCCGTTTCTGGCCAGTCTTATTATTGGTTGAAAAATGATGGCGCACATGAGTCTCCATGGACTGAATTAGAATGAATGGTCACTATTAATTTTCGTAGTTCCTATTATTATTTAATGTTTATCTACTATAATTTTAGATTTACGATCTAACTAATTTAAAATATTAGTCTTTACTAATTTTAATATAAATAAAGCAAATTATGTTTTTTTTAATAAATCCAGCACATTTATACTCAAAATAAAAATTTTCTCAAGCTAGATTAGGGGAGTCCTCAAAAACGCCCACGTAATTAATGACCGCTCCTTATAAAATGTATTTCAATTAAAGTTTATTTATAAAATCAATATTTCTTTTTATAGGATCGGACCGAGGGCAGCAGATTTAATTCACTTAGGGGCAAAATTTGCTCCATGCATGAGGTTGGACGATAAAATAATGTTAGAAATTGAAAAAATTAGAAAGAAGGAGAAAGAGACAGCCTGCTGCATTAGAAATGATGATTCGGGATGTGTGCAATCATCTCAGGCGGATTGCTCGGTAAGACAATAAACCATACGTGTTGTAAAAATAATAATTGTAATTGCTAACTACGTTCAAACTTTCTACACTCAACCAAAAAAACAATATGTTCAAAAAGAGCTATGATCAAGCTGACTTTGTATAATAACAGATTTAATTTCAAACAATTTTTAAACTCAAAGCTCGTCTGATCATTTTTTCTTATTGTACAGAATCACTTATTCTCCTAGCATCATTTATACTTTTAATGCATTTAATACAATATTAATCTTATTTATCACTTATTTATGTCTTTTATTGCTGCTTTACAGTTGAGGGGTCTAAGACCAACGGTAAGTGAGGTACTAATTATAAGAGTAATAATGCTATATACATGGTGTCAAAAAAATAGTGTATGTAACTTCGGTGGGTGATTCTACAGATAAAAATAAAACAAAAAGTTCGTATGAATATATTATGTTCTAAAATGTTTCCCGAAGAAATTACAGCTTTCGAAAGATTAACAACCATTTCTTTAATCTGCAGTATTTGCCAATTTATTTTTACTTCTCTTTAATGATGAGCGAGATTATTCTTGATGTTGCAGTCTTTGTCTTGCAACCCAACCCAACCTACAGATAAGAAAATGCATTTTCTACGAAAACTTGAAGAGATAGGTAAAAAATGGTATAATAAAATTTGATAGACAATTAAATTGTGCTCTGATTCTCGTAAAATATAGAGGGTGTTCCATTTAAATTAAAGTTATTGTCGTTGAAAGCTAGTAATTATTTAATATAATTTTTATACACTCTCTATAAGATAGTATAATTTTTATTATTGCAAAACAAAACTTACTAAACAGAAAAACTTCAATACAATATTTAGGTTTAAAAACTTAAATGCGCCTAGAGAAATGAAGCATAAAAATTGTTTCTGTATTTTCATAAAAACGTAAATATTTCAAAAACGGTTAGATTAAAATGCAGTAAACCTGAATCAAATTTACCTTTATTTTAATCGTAGAAACTAAAATGTAATGATATACAGAGTGTTCCATTTAAAAAAATACAAATTTAATACTTTTTATTTATTTGGGGCTCAGCAAACCCAACTCTTTAACGAACCCAAAACTTAGAATTTGTAAAAATCTAATCGTTTAGCTACAATATTCCGTGTATGTATGTATGAACAATCCTGTATATTGAAAAATAAAGTTTCGTGGGACAAATTAATAACTTCTTTTTTTAATGTTTTATTTGCATTAAATTACTATGAATACCATTTATTTAAAAACATTTTATGTAGAAAGTGTACCTCTAATGAAAACCTATTAAAAATGAAAGCGTTGCAAGAATTTCGCCATTTGCTAATCACTACTTCTCTTATCGCTAGGCCTTATTTAATACAAATATTTTTATATAGAAAACAATATCAACATGGAAGAAATGGACATCGGGCGATACCGGTCCGGGAGGCAGAATATCTGGGTCGGTGTGCGGCCTGGATCCAAAGTAAGTAAAAAAAATTCTGCTCCATTGGTGATTATTCGCACTCTTATAGGTTTGGTGCATTATCCGCTGGTGCCGGTGTTGCCACCATCGGAGAATATCGTAAACAACTATTATATATGTTACGGCTAAAATAGATACTTAGCTAGTTTTCAAACTAGCCAGCTATTTTAAAACAAACGATACAACCAACACCGCAAACTAACACCTAACCCACAAAACAACAGCACTTTATGCAAAATAGCCAAGTATCCATTTTAGCCGTAGCATATACAAATACACGGGTTTAAATCCTAGATCATATATACTTACGTGGATAAGTAAATCACTATGGAAACTGTCCCAAACATATCAACGACTTCCATTTATCTTCTTTTTTGTTGCACACGCGGTGCTTCTACTCTATCTATCCTTGTCGAGGACCTATCGTCCACGCGTCAAATTTGAACATTAATTTTAAAAATTTAAATTGTAAAATGCATCTATTTGAACAATTATTGAATGTTACTGTCACAAAAATTAAATTAAATAAAAAATAAATTAGCCACTCCGTACGAATATCAATATTCTTAGGAAATCTAACCAGAAAGTATGCATGTGGTTTAATATACATAAAAGAACAACTGAATACTTTACTTGCCTGTGAAAAGATAATTCGGGGACATTTATATTATAATTTCAACACACCAAACACTTTCTTGTCATTTTTACGAGTATTTACCCAAAAATTAAAACCCAATGAGTAAAAAATAGAAATATAATTGCACAAACTTAAAATTAACTTCTCACTGAACACATTTGCATCCTTGGCTATATAAAAGCGGTCAATAAAAGAGTAATTAATACAATGTTTAAAATAAAAAAACGCAAAAAACAAGCGTCGTTACACAATGGAAATAACATTATGACATATGCATAGATAAATGAAACAAGTTTAGATTGGAAAGTGCCCATAAGGACAATGTAAACACTATTTGGCGCTATTCTTGCAACGGTCGCGACCCAAAACTTATGAAAATTTCGGAGCTGTTCGGCTTTTTCCGGAATTATATCGCCAAATATTGTTTATTCAAATTTATTATTATTTTCGTTTATTTTATAAATAAAAGATAGTGTATTGCATACAAGAAACTTTATTTTATATAAGGGCGCATGTATGAAATACCTATGAAACATTGGAAACCGACGTTATGCCACGATCCAGGATGGTTTTTGCAGTTCACAGTTCACAGCACAGCTTTTTAAGTTTTTAATGCCACTTTTTCACAATTATCACCGGTTGGAGTAAATAAAACTTGAATTAAACTCACAAGATAGTAATTATTACTTTGAAAATGGACGCTATAAACACTTTTCGGAATTTCTTTAATGAGAGCGGTTTAGATTTTAAGATTATTATGAATTTTGAAGATTCTGACTTTGACAAGAGAGAATTATTTCTGTTTTTGTTTGCCGTTGTTCTTAGCGACCGCTATAGCAGCGCCAGATCGCGTATAACGGTCGCGACCCAAAATAATTTCGCGACCCAAAATTTTTAGGGGCTTTCCAATCTAAACTTGTTGCATTTATCTATGGACATATGATTATGACAAGATTATGACATGATTATGAGAATGAAAAGTTGGTTTCCATAACAATGTATAATTTGTACTTTCTAAACCGGATAAAATTGTAATTATTTTGGAAATACGTGCCACTTTTACTGCGCATGCGTAAAGTTAGGTCCTCGAGAAAGACAAACCTATTGAACGTTCATAAGTGCAATAAAGAAGGTTTGAAAATGGCTTGTCGTGATGTTGGGGATATATTTTTTAATGCTAAACTTATGGCGTTGATTTACCCACGTAAGTATATATGATCTAGTGTTTTTAAATAGCGAGTATACGAAAAATTTATTATTTAATTATTCAAAAGTGTTAAGAAGTATAATTTGTGAAAATTCTAAAAATGCAAATAAAAAATAAATATTTTGATATCTTCAGAAGGTCTAACTGGTATTATAATTTATTATTCCAGTTAAAAAAACTTTTTAGATTAGTTCAACTACGATAGCGAGCATAGTTTTAATCACCGATTTTGTTAGTGGGGCATAATTGGCGCTATTTCGGCTATAACGAAATTTGTTAAAGGTACTTAATTATAATTTTAGAAGATGTTTATAAAACATTTAAAAACTAGTTGATTAGAAAAAGTTTACCATTGATATTGCAAATTATATTTTATCCTCTCATATAATAATAATAATAATAATAATAAACAACGCTTTATTGTACAAAAAGGCAAAATAGATTCATCGACAAAGCATTTACACAACAAACAAAAGCACAAAAAAAATATACAAATAATAAAAAAATATCATGCAATACAAATCAATTCAAAAAAATTTACGTCATTATAATTACAAATAAAACATACATGGACATTGCAGAACACAGGCGTATCAATAAAATTTTACAAAAGGAAAATTGTAAATGGATAAAATTATGTAAGAATTATAAAATATACATCAATATATATCATACCTAGTATATGTCTAGTATTTAATTTTTTGATTATGTAACAAGCACTTTGTTTACTTACTTGTTTAGTCGAACTGCTTGAATCCATTTTTGCTTTTGATCAAATCGGTGTGAGAAACTATGAAGCTATAAAATGTTGTTTCGGGAGAGTTGAATATCCTGGAAAGTTGAGTTATTGAATGTTATTGCACCCAACAACGGCCTAATTTTGCTCTCCTTTATGCGTTAACATTTTTTCAACGAATTATTACAACACAACACGACGCCTAGTTCGAATTCACGCAAACCTCGTACCTGAGTGTTTTACAGCGCTTTCAAATGGAGCGGACCGTCCGCAACTTTGAGCAAGTACCATGAGTTTATATGAACAATTTCCTATAGGTCGCGTATGCTCCAGCAGGACGATTTCATCCGACGGCTATCTTGAAAAAAGTCGGACGGAACATACGCGCCCATGTGAAATTGTTCATATAAACTCATGGTACTTGCTCGATGTTGCGGACGCTCCCTCGCGGACGCTCAGCTCCATCGAAAAGCGCTATTATAGTTTCAATAACTGCACTAACAAAAAACTTAATTAAATATTATAACAAAATCACGATTTAAATATTGTTTTAATGCGATCAACATGATGGCGTCGTGAAATACATACAGATAATTTCTGATTTTTACCGTTGAAGCGCTGCGGTCGGAATTTGTTGAAATCAACTGAAATGCACCAAGCCTATAGCAAAGCGAGATTTTTAGTTTAACTGATGCTGTTTCGGTTTCATTGCATAATTTGTCATGTCAGTAGTAATCCTCCTCTGTATTATTTACAGATATAAATATATTTGCATGAAATTTTCTTGAGCCATTTCTTAACTATAAATAATTCAACTTTTCTTGGGTAAGGTTCGTTAATAAAATAAATTTAGATTTTTTTTCGAGAACGTATTTTAAGAAAGCTGGCTCTGTAATATATCTTTTGCTATGCTCTCTGAAATAGCGTGCGAGTCGTCTGGCTGCCGATAGACGTTTCGTTCACTACTGCGCATTGAAAGAAGATCCTATATTTTTTTATTTAGTCCGTTAAATCGAACAACTCTCCATAGCGCAGCGCGACAACATTCCGCCTATAAGGCGAGAAATCCCGAGTTCAATACTGGCTCGGGGTAAACTTTTTTATTTTATTTTCGTTTATATTCTGATATAGTAAAGTATTAAATATTGTTTTTTTTAATCACCAGAATTATTTAATACTTTACTATCAGAATATAAAGGAAAATAAAATAAAATAAAGTTTACCCCGAGCCGGCATTGAACTCGGGACTTCTCGCTTTATAGGCGGAACGTTTTCGCGCCGCGCTATGGAGACTTGTTCGATTTATATTCAATACTAGAATGTAAAAGACTAAATAAAAATATAGGAACTTCTTTCAATGCGTATAGTAGTGAACGCAATGTCTATCAGCAGCCAGACGGGCTGCCCGCTCTTCCAGGGGCCTAGTAAAAGATTTATCAAAGAACCAGCTTTCTTAAAATACTTGTTTTTCAGACGTTGCCAGCTCTCGTACTATGACGTTTCGCCCTTATTTTTGGGGCATTTTCAAAAGTTTTTTATTGTCTTACGATTTTTATTTAGTTTTGTCAACACTCTGGATATTCGTGCTATTCGACAGAACTTTTGAAATTGCCCCAAAAATAAGGGCGAAACGTCAAAATATTTTAAAGAAAACTAGATTTATTTTATTAACGAACCTCAACCCAAGAAAAGATGAATTATTTATAGATATAAATATATGCTGGCAGTAATTTATTGGGAATAATTCTTTTCTAGGTATTGCGATGCACCGCCGAGCGTACACCCTTACGAATGGCCCGATGATATTACAAAATGGCCTATTTGTAGGAAAACTAACACTCAAATTTCGCAATCTGTTGCCAAACGCGATAAAGGAGGAACTAAAGACCGGTCCGCTGAACATATGGTATGCGAAGTAATCGGCCATCCTTGCTGTTTAGGTATTCATGGCCAATGTCATATAACCACTAGGGAGTACTGCGACTTTGTTCGAGGTACTTTTCACGAAGAAGCATCGCTTTGTTCTCAAGTAAGTAGTTGTAACTAAATGTAAGTTTAACATTTATTTTTAACATTCTGCTCCATTCATTTTGAAGTTTTAAACGTATCGATCCTTCAGTAGGTGATGCTGTAGTTTCTACAATAATTGTAGAATTTATTACAATTTATTTTTTCCGTGTATTTAAGAATAAATAATGAACTATTTTACATATGGGTCCACAGAGGGGGGGGGGCGAAGGCTGGTTAGGTTAGGACCAGTCCGACCCTGCACAGAGTAAGATATCATAACCAGAATAAACAAGGCTAGAATAATATTTAGAAAGCTCAACAACTCAACAATATTTCGCATTCTAGACACACGCGCAGTGACCTGGAAAATTACACAGTCGTTGATTAACCAATTCCAAGTATTCATAAACCGCTGTCTGCTGAAAAATTTAGGAATATTCTGGCCAAACAGTATTAGTAATGCGAATATATGGAGCTTAACCAACCAGAGGCAGGTGTATAGTATGATCAGAGAGAAAATTGAGGTGAATTGGTCACACATTAAGGCGAAGTAGCAGCAACATTGCTGTCAGAGATATTGAGTGGAACCCACAAGGCAGTAGAAAAACTGGTCGTTCAAGACTCTCTTGGCAAAAAACAATTAAAAAGGAGATTAAATGAGTAAACCGATCATGGCGAGATGTTAAATTGATTTCAAACAACCGCACCCGCTGGAAAGTATTTACCGAAGCTCTATGCTCCATGTAAAGGCGCACTCTCACGACTGGTCTACTTGGCAAATACGCCAATATTTGCGTACTTGTCAAGTATCCCCACCAGTCCCCACTTTGTAAACAACATCGGTGACATCGGCAAGTGTGGCGCTCACACGACGTGTGCATTTCAACAAGTACGCCAGGGGGGCAATTTTCGGAGTTGATCGTTTACATGCGAACGCGCAACTCTGCGAGTGCTAGAAAACGAATGCGTTTTAAAAATTCAATTTTTCAGCCATCTTCGCATCTTAATTTGCGATCGTCGTGAGCGTACGCAATACTACGAGCCGAAGCTGTGGCAACGTCGACAAATCGCAGTGAAAAACTAAATTCTCCCTTCCCCAGTTTAACCGTATTTTTTACTGTTTGTTTACTTTTCATTACTTGGTGTCGATAATCGAGGTTTGTTGTGTTGTTGGTCAAGTGGGCTAATAATGGAAAAAAAACGTGGAACTAATGTTACAGAAAAGCAAAAAGCAACATTAATAGAATTTGTAAAGACGAGGAAGAAAATTATTTGGAAATTCAACACATTGATCGAATATTTCTGGATGGTTTAGAGCGTTGGTAACTTCATCATTTGAATGAGAAAAAAAGCAGCTAAAATCTGAAATAAATTTAGTGTTACTTCATAGATATACAATAATAGAGAAAAATGTTACCCGGCTTTGCACATCCAAATCAGTCTCTCTTCTTTGCGGTCGCACGTAACTGAATTAAAAAACGGCACAAGTCTTTGGATAACCGAAATATTTTAATAAATTGCCTTTCACTCAGTTCTATAAACGTATTCCCTGGATTGCGCAAAACATTACGGCGGTATTGCAGTTCTGCATTTTCTAGGTTTCGAATGGCCAAAACGTTCATTAAGTCATCCATTACTATTATTAGCTTACTTCGGGTTTTTCTTATTACCGATTCTGAACCGTCCTAGAACTGTGATACGCATGCGCAGAAGGAAATACGGAGAAATTATTTCATTAGCGCATGCCCGGCAGAGTTCTAGGACAGTTCAGAATCGGTAATATAAGAACCCGAACAAAGCTATTGTTACACCTAAACCCAACTACAAACTTGGAACTATCAAATCTAATATGCGCACTTAAAAAACCTATCCTTACGCTGCTGTCGATCCGCTCGCAAGATAACGCGGAGAAATTTGTTAATACGCGAAAATGCGAACTCTTAAAAATTGGATTTTAGTGTGGATCGAAAAGTTGCGAACAATTTGCAAGGAAACGAATGGCCAAAAATTGCCTCCCAGCACAAACATTGTTTAAATCCTTGGCAAGTAAACAGTATATATACGATGGATACCGGTCGTCCCGAAATTGTCGTTGCTAGTGATTCTTTTTTCTTTTTATGTTCTTTTACTGTACACTGCAATAGGTACGATTTCTATATTCTTTATGTTTGGCCATCCATATGAAGGGCTCATTTTCGTATAGATCCATAAATTCCAAAACAACATCATTTGAAGATTACACGGGAAAATCCAGTTTTGTCCATTTTAATAGGAGCCGACAAAAATGCAATTTAGTGTTTTTAAAGAAATATGTTATTTTCGGTTGAATAATTAGAAAAATATATATTACTACCAATTCTGAATTATTAATATTGTGAATTATCGCCATATTCTGAAATACCGACATAAAGATGTCAAAAGGCAAAACAAAACAGGGGAAAACCAGGAATGTCCAATTAAAGGTTGTATAATAATAACAATCTAACAAAAATTTTAAAAAAATATATTTTTTTGTTGTAGGGAGAACATTTAAGTAGGTTTTTATTACAATACATAAATTTATAACATATAATACTAATAGCAAGATGCATGTTTGTCGCCCATGCGTCTGTACATCTCTGGTTTTTGCCATTTACGCGTGGACTGCTCTGGCTTTTCCTTTGTACGGCAAAATATAAATAATAATATGTAATATCTCTGGGACGAAGCGTATTATTGATTTCTTTTTTCTCGAATGACGTTAACATAATGTCCATAAAGTTGTATCGCTCAACGTCGCTATCTTAATTTCTATGAAAAAAAAGTGACATATCTGGTTTTTCCCGTGTAGTCTTCATTTGTCCACTCCATGTATTGCTGTGGGAACGATTTAGATGCCGCCAATATTGAAGTTATTAATGTAAATTTGATATTACATAATCTATTATTGTTTTAACGTTTTAAATTATCCGCAATTAACTCGAAAAACACGATCCGGAAATAAATCGGACATACGCTATAACAGTACAATTATTTGCGCAGTCGTTTTTTTGCGCCTAGGCAAGTGTAAACAAGGCTGGCCAAGTACACTTGGCAAGTGTACGATTAATCGTTTGACTCGGGCTATGTTTACCGACAGAGAGTGGGTTGAGTTCGATCAAGTTGATTTGCAAATTACGATTCATGACATTCGCCATATAATTTTCCATATAAATAACAGCTTTTTTTTTATCTCCAAGCCAATTTCGAGTTTCTCAATCTTCAAGCCATTCGTGTAATATACAGTATGTCCCCGGATTGTCTTTACAAAGGAAAAAACTTTTTTATTATTGACTGTTTCAGAAAAATGCATTCTTTATAAAAATGTTTGCTTGTTCTAATATGGTTTATCCTGTTTTTACTTTTCCAAATTTCCATACCGCTTTAGAGAAAATTAAGAAAAACATGAAAATATGATGGATTTTTTTCTAAAAATCAAAAGGCGTTTCTATGGTAATATCAATTCGATTTCATTCTTTGATAGATGGTATTAATTTTGATTAATGGCATATTCTTTGCTGTTGTTAAAGTATCACACAAGCTTTTTTTGGGTTCTTGTTATTACCGATTCTGAACCGTCCTAGAACTCTGCAGCGCATGCGCAAATGAAATAATGTCTTCATATTTCCTTCTGCACATACGCATCACAGTTCTAGGACGGTTCAGAATCGGTAATAACAAGAACCCGAACAAAGCTATAGATAAAGGAAATAAATTTAGATTGGAAAGCCTCTTTGGGAAAGCCCGTCAAAATATATGTTAACTGTTTTAGGCCGTTGTACGCGATCTGGCGGTGCTATAACGGTTGCTAAGAACAACCGCCAAACAATAACAGAAATAATTTTCTCTTGTCAAAGTCAGAATCTTCAAAAATTGTATATTTTATATCTTTCTTTTAGATTTTATAACTTTCAAAATTTAAACCGCCTCCATTAAAAAAAAAATACCGAAAAGTAATTATTTCTATCTTGTAAGTTTAATTTAAATTTTACTTACTCAAATCCGTGATAATTGTGAAAAAGTGGCATTAAAAACTAAAAAACTCTGTTGTGAACTGTGAACTGCAAAAACCATCGTGGATCGTGGCATAAGGACATGTTTATGAAAATAAAGTAAAACGTAAATAAACTATAACGGCTATAAAATAAAGTTTCTTGTAAGCAATACACTGTATTTTATTTATAAAATTAAAAGAAAATAATAATAATAAATTTGAATAAATAATATTTGGCGACTTAATTCCGGAAAAAGCCGAACCGATCCGAAATTATCAAAAGCTTTGAGTCGCGACCGTTGCAAGAATAGCGCCAAATAGTGTTTACATTGTCCTTATGGGCACTTTCCAATCTAAACTTGTTTCATTTATCTATGGTATCACATTTTCCGATAACTATAATATCATCACCCATATCATCACCTTTTCCTTAGCATTGAACTAAATAAATGTTGTGCTTTAATATTTTAAAACAACAAAAAATATTACGTTAATTAAAATTCTATGAATAACACTTAATCAAAGAATGAAAACGAAGTCATGTTACTATAGAAAGGCGTTTGATTTTTAGATTTTTTTTTGGATCTTAGGACAAAAAAATTCAAACAAATTTTTAAGTTTTTCTTATTTTTCTCTAAAACGGTATGGAAATTTGGAAAAGTATAAACGGGATTAACCATTTTAGATCAAGCAAAAATGCTTATGAAGAATGCATTTTTCTCAAAATGTCAATAATAAAAAAGTTTTTCCTCTTGTAAAGACAATCCGGAGACCGGGGACATACTTTACATGAATGTATGCCCAAGCTTGCCTGTTTAGAGCACACTCATTTAGGCAATACATACAATTTTACTTGAAATATATGTATAAACCAAAAATCGATTCGATTTTAGTTGAACAACGAACATGTTTTGCATTATCTATTTTATTTTCGTAGTTACTATTTATTTTAATAGTTAATTTTCTTCTTGCAGGTATCTTGTTTAAACGACGTTTGTGGTATGGTGGATTTCTATTTCCCAGATACCCCAGATCAATTTTACCGGCTGTGGACGTCGCTGTTTCTTCACGCCGGTATTCTACAACTTATAATTACCGTTGTGGTTCAGTACTTTTTAATGCGGGATTTAGAAAAACTGACTGGATCTCTCAGAATAGGAATCATTTATATTGGTTCCGGGGTGGCAGGAAATCTAGCAAGTGCTATTTTCGTTCCATACAGGGCTGATGTAAGTATTACTAGCGTTATTTGAATCTATGAAAGTCTTGAAGTCTAATAAATACAGTTTTCCGAATACATATAGGTAAATCTAAAAGTATCTATTATTTAAAAATTAAAGAAATAATGTAAAATTTCAAAAGTTACCGATCAGTAATAGGAATCGTCCTTTACTACACTTCTGTCAAAGGAATTCTTGAGATTAACAACTGTTTACCACTAATTTGGAGTGCAATATAGTCAAAAAGTTTTATAGTAATGTTTGCTTTGTCCGATCTCCCAGTCAAAGCCCCCATGATCAAATTTTTGATCAAAAATTATCCTTTCCTAGAATTCAAAAATAATATAATTGTTTCTAAAAGACTTCGAGACTACTATTTTTAATTAAAGATGGTTAATATTAAAAACTTATGCACGGTTATTCAGCTAAAAGATTCTATTTTTAGAAACTGAGTTTTGGGGTTGATTCTCACTATACCTTCCGTAGCAGCTCCCCTCCGTTTCCCTTCCGTTTACGTAAAATATTATATCATGTAAATGAATAGGACAATGCACACTATTCGTTTCGTTTCCCTTCCGTTCCATATCCTTTCCTTCCATATACAGGGTGTTTCAAAACAAATACGAAAAACTTCAGGGGGTTATTCCTTGTTCAAAATAAAGGGTAGTTTGCTTCATAAACGTTGGGTCAAAAGTCAACCATTAGGGAGATATTGCGGTACAAAGATGGCGGAAAAATAATGTTTTTATTTTTTATCTTGAAAACGAAAATAGATAGACTAATAAAATTTTATGGAAGCATTACTGCTATGAAAACACACTTTCTGGTAATTTTTTTCACTTTTTTAAAATGAGTCGAAGGGGTTGAAATAAACTACCCCTATCATTCTTGTTAACGAAATTTAAAGAAAAATCTTACCAAACACATGCAAAAAAATTAGTTTGGGTAGTTTAGTTTGTTTAGAAACTTTTTTATCTCTTTTTTTTTTTGATAAAACTCACCGATTTGAAATTAAAAAATAAAATGTAAAGCATTACATGTCAGGACAAAAAACATTTTCTGATAAAGAATCTAGTGGGCTGCTGTAATTTTTTTAGGAAAAAATCTAGTCGGCCGCTGTTACTTTTTAGGATGTTCCTAATATTCTTTTATTTGACATTACTCTACTGCAATACGTTATTATCTAGATGATTATTATTATCGTTATTATCACTAGATTCTTAATCTAAAAAAAATTTTGTCCTGACATGTAATGCTTTACATTTTATTTTTTAATTTCCAATCGGTGAGTTTTATCAAAAAAACACAAGAGGTAAAAAAGTTTCTAAACAAACTAAACTATCCAAATTAAAGCATTTGCATGTGTTTGATAAGATTTTTCTTTAAATTTTGTTAACAAGAATGATAGGGGTAGTTTATTTCAACCCCTTCCACTCATTTTAAAAAAGTAAAAAATTACCTGAAAGTGTGTTTTCATAACAGTAATGCTTCCATAAAATTTCATTAGTCTATCTCTTTTCGTTTTCAAGATAAAAAATAAAAACATTATTTTTCCGCCATCTTTGTACCGCGATATCTCCCTAATGGTTGACTTTTGACTCAACGTTTATAAAGCAAACTACCCTTTATTTTGAACAAGGAATCACCCCCTAAAGTTTTTCGCATTTGTTTTGAAACACCCTGTATATTTTCGGCGGACGGACTGAAGCGTATCGAAAAGAGCGTTGTCAAGTTCTTACATTTGTACTAGCTCTGTTAACATTTTGCTGATATTTATTTATTCTTTCACCTCTTAATTAAATCTATTATCTTTTTTAAAAGATACAATTTTTTAAAATAAAACTTTCTTAATGATTGATATAAATAACTGTGCAATAAAAAGTATGGAACTAATACGGAACGGAAGATTACGTATAGCGTCAATACAATAAAAAATACGAAACGGATATGGAATGGAAACGGAAAGTATAGTGAGAATCTACCTTAACCCTGTATATTTTATAAGAGTACGCACGCAAAGAAAGCTGGTTAATAAGCGCCTATTACCAGCGCATACAAGGTGTCTCAATAGTACACAATGAAGGTAAAAAGACGGCGCCGATTTACGCTGGCAACAAGCGCCAGCGCCTACAAGTTTTTTTTCTGTGTACGGGTGCGTTTAAAAGTGCATTTAATTATTGGCGCTTTTAAGCCCTTGTTACTCTTTGCGTGCCTATCCTAAGGTTTGTTCCAACCTAGAAATTTGTACCGTTCTAGAACGGTAATTGAGATCGCCGGCATCGGGTTTGTACGCATGTGTCAACTTGGACAGTTCTGTTTAGAGATGAGCTTAACAGCTACTTCTAAGTGACAGTGACCAGACGGTCGCTGGTTACTTTTAGCAGCGACTTAAGTCACCGGGACCATCGCGTCGGGACTCACCGATACAAAATATCGCTTGTCTTCATCCGATTCCGTTTGCAGCTTGCTCTAGGAGCCGAGACGGTGACCTGGCGTATCGATGTGTTCCAGCGACCAGCAACCGCTGGATAATTTTTACTTCTACCATGCCCCTTAATTCGCTGGTTAAATTAGCTCAATCGAGAGAGATACGCCTCTGTACATCTATTAAATAGTTGCGATGTTTATTATTGTGGAAAATAAAAAAAGAAGAAATTGTAATAAAAGTGTGATAGAAAAAAACGTGAACGGATTATTTGCTTTTATTAATTATAATTATTTAACTATACAAATTAAGAAATATTATGTCTAAAAATAAGATATTACGTTTTAGATACCATTTCTTTTTGTCTAGTCAAATAATCGTATACTATGTTCCTTTAGGAAGTTTATTTAATATTTAATATGACTATTTATGAGGTATAGATAAATTTTAAATTTATATCCCGTTACGAGAGCCGCTCGAATATTCTTATTTCTCACATAATAGGAATCACTGTCAATTAATTACGGAAAGATGCATACATTTTATTAAATGTCAGGTATAAACAGAGAATGTTTTTTTATTTAACGTCAATATCTGAACGAGTTCCGTATACACTGTATACAGTAATAATAATCTTTATTGATTTACAATCACAAGTATACAAAATTTTACGAAAAAAAATTGTTTTCTAAAAAATATTTGTTAGTTAAACAATTTTGCAATTGATAATTAAATTTATACTAATTATATTACATTTTATATGATTTCAAGAGTAGGTTGTGATAATAGATCCATGAATTAGTTAGTTATAAAAAATAATCAATAATAAATAAATAAATCATATGATACGCTCTCGTCTGCATTTTGCAATACATCGCCTGTCTCACATTTCACCGTTGGGTAAACCAGGGCCGCTGGTCGCTGCTTGCCGGAGAAATAGGTCGCTGGTATTACTGGTGACCATGTAAGTCACCGGTATAAGTCGCCGATAAAAATTATCGCTCATCTCTAGTTCTGTTACTATACTAAAATTAAATACGGATTGGAAAGGTTTTTGAACTAATTTTAGAATCAAATTCAAAATATAATTTAATTATTAATATAGGTTAGATATATTTTCCATATAAATTTCGAATTTTTTATTTATTGGATTTATTTACGGATTATTCAATTTCTTTATTTTTGAAGTGAAACTTCTTTACGCACGCTGGGAGTAAAAATTGAAGGCTCGACACACGAGCTAGCGTCACGACACACGTCACGAAAAGTGGTAACCATCGAAAAAGTGGAAAGCCAAAGAGGAAGTTGAGATGGGTCTTTGGAGCGTTATAACTCGGGCCTTATGTGAGTTAGGGGGATGAAATTGGGAATGTAGATGGGACTCGAAGAACCCGATCTTTTCATTTTGACGACGTTTCGTGCACTATGAAACCCCATCAGGAATGGCGAAAAAATCGTTCGATTTAAATGAAATTTGGTGTATCGATAAATTGGACCAAGGCCAACTTGGCTAGGTTGTACGACACGTATCACTGTGACTGTTAGTTTTAATATAAAAAACTTCAAATGTTGATGTCGTTCGATCGCGACCAAATTTTGTGGGTAGGCTATGTGAGCGACGGTGCACACGGTCCCACCCTACAAAGTTGGATACGACGTTTCGTTTAGTTCTTCATCAGGGTGGGACTAAGGACTTGATATTGAAGAAACATGTGGGTTGGTTTCGGTATAATTGGGAACGGACTACAGGATGACGCCCTCGACGTTTCGAACCGATGCCTCTAAATGGACGAAATCATCAGAATTTTTCTCTTAATTATTTGTCGATTGGAACCAAACTCGGCACGTGGATTGAGGTACCTGATTGGAGTCCTCAGACGGCCAAATGATAATTTTATACAGATTTTGTGAAAGTGAATCAAATTATTTATTAATTTTTAATCTATGACGTTTTCAAAATTTCAAACTACACTTTTTCACACATGTCCTTCAAATCCTTCAATTTAATAGCTGTTATTGTTTCACTTCAAATATGCGCACATAGTGCATCCACAATTTTTTTTTAATTAACACGAAATCACCTTTGCTTTGTTTAACAAAAGTTTTAAATCATCTTCAGTGGTATCCACATACTCAATATCAATATAAATAATCATTTATAATGTCACTGTCGTCACTCTTCATATTTAGTACAAAATTGTAAAAATATTTATTTAAAATACGTATAAAAACGATCAATACCAAATAAAACTTGAGGGATCAACGAATTAAAAATAGGAAATAGCCACAGAAATAAAGTAAAAATAATAATCACCTGACCCACAGTCTTAATACGCAGGTCAGTTATTTTGATTCTTGCTTTTAGGCTGGTATCGAAATCACCGTACCGTTGGAATGCAAAAGATATCGTTCGCTAAACGATTCCCTCTTTGATGGAGCGTATTTTATCCGCTGCGCATAAGCGTAACCATACCAAGGACGGTAGTGATGGGCATTACGATTCTTTTTAGTGAATTGAATCACATGATTCAATTTCTCATATTGAATCGACTCCTACGATTCGTTCATTTGAACGAACCACTTGCATTATGGCGATAATTTGGCCGGACAATTACTTATAAGGGACCAGAAAAAGAAATATACAGTTCTTTCATTTGTTTTTCAACACTTTATGACACTAGCGTAATTGGATTGATTATTTTACAAATAATGTTAAATTATCAATTCAATTCATATATACTATTTATTAGAGACTTCTTAATACCAATTTAATATTTTTAGAGCCGATATTTTAATTCCCATTTAATAATCATATAATAAATAGTATATAATACCGCATGTGATCTAAAAAAATGGCATCCAGTTGGCTTGGAAATGAACACCGATGACATTGCCTATATAATTTTACATATAAAATAACACCGATTTTCATTTTATAACCATCGCTGACGCCATTTTTTTATCATATTGAGCAGGAGCCAACAATGTTTATTTGGAGTTGCATAAAAACACGATTTCGTCTTTTAGTCCGAAATTTAACAGTTTTTAGTCGGTAATATTATTTTAACAAAAATATTAACGTAAAAATTAAATACATTACAGACATTCCTGTACTAAGCACAGTATAAATAAGTTTTTTTCTTGTAAATAACATTTTTATCGTTTGCATTTTATGTCCATGATGTTTGTTTAGGTCTTTTTTTTAAGTCTAAATATTGGTGCCTGACTCTATGCCTATATCACCGCCGCGCCGTAGAAACGAACGATCGCATTGTGATCCGATTCAATTCTCACGATACTTTTTTACGACTCATCGTTTCGTTTGGTTTGGTCTTATGGATCCGTGCTAGCCACGATTCAATTGAACGAACCGTATTGTAAGTAATGAATCAATTCTCACGACTCTTATGAATCTGTGCTGGCTACGATTCAATTGAACGAACTGTATTCTAAGCAGTGAATCGAATCACACGATTCATTTTTAATACTCGTTCAAATGAACGACTCGTTCAATCTTTGCCCACCTCTGAAGAACGGTCCTCTGCTGTGTTGGAACAAACCTATAAATAACTTCGTTTACAGTGCGTTAAGTCTAAATATTATGTTTTTTTTACTAGGTGGGTCCAGCTGGCTCCCAGTTTGGTCTACTAGCCTGCTTAATCGTTGAAGTACTTAACTCTTGGAAGATGTTGAAACATCCTAATCAAGCTCTCTGCAAACTACTATCAATAACTACATTATTATTTTTTATTGGGTTGTTGCCTTGGGTCGACAACTACGCTCATTTATTTGGGTTCATGTTCGGCTTTCTACTGAGTTACGCGCTTTTGCCTTTTGTATCTTTTGGGCCATATGACAAGCAGAAGAAAATATTCTTAATATGGGTTTGTCTTTTGACCGCTTTGATACTTTTCATTGTATTAATATTATTATTTTATATTATACCCGTTTACGACTGTAAAATATGTTCATATTTTAACTGTTTGCCGCTCACACGAGACTTTTGTGCTTCTCAAAATATCAATTTTAAAAGAGAAGACATAAAAGTATGACATCAAATTCAACGGTATTCTACCGTATATGTAAGTCTGGGTTCTTTGATGGTAACTAATATTCATTTTAAAAATGCATGTTTCGCCAAAAAATAAATTTATATTGTGTTTTTATTGTTGAATATGAAACAAATTAATTTCTTCAAAAAAGTCTTCTCGGTATTTTTGCCACTAGAAGAAATTGTACAATAAGAATAGTTTGGGGGACCAATTTGTCAATAGGTATTTTACTAATAAAACAAATTTATCTAACGGACAAAAAATAGTACAACAATATACATGTATTTATTTTAACAGATCGTTAACGGTTTTTAATTGACGTTTTTGTTAAAAAAACTAAACTGTTCTTGAATTGTACAGGGTGGGCCAAATTGGACACTTTTAAAGGCAAACTCCCCTTTCTAAAGGAGATATAGAAAAACTAATGGTATCTGGAGCTCAATTGTCATCAAAAACATAATAGTAAAACCCGAACATCTGTTACTGTTTTAGATTTACAGGGTGTTTTTAAAAAATGTGCATTTTTAAAAACCGGTGGTAATTGTTTTACTATGGAAAATTTTGTGTTCTAATGAAAGTATATCCAAATCACTTTTTTACATAGAATTTAATGGTTTAAGTATAATTTTTTTTAGTTAACAATTTTAGAGTTCCACGCAAAAAATATTTTGTAGTTAGTTCTCCTCGATGAATTAAAAAAATACAGCGTGACCCATTTAAAAAATCAAATTTTCTGTTCAAATTCAAAATTATTGGTTTAAAAAAGGTTAATACTTAAACTATTAAATTCCATGTAAAAAGGTGCTTTGGAAATCTTATCATAAAAATACAAAATTTTCCATAGCAAAAAATTTACAGCGATTTGTTAAAAAAGCAGATTTTTGAAAAACACCCCGTAACTCCGAAACGGTCACAGATACCGAAGTACGGGTTTTGCCGTCTTGTTTTTGATAAAAAATTGAGCTCTAGACACCGGTATTAGTTTTCGTCTATCTCCTATGGAAAAGGATGTTTCTATTTAAATTGTGTCCAATTTGACCCACCCTGTACCTATTTAGAAATAGTTTTTTATTTGTTCTTTGTGTTTTTTTACTTCCGACGACGGAAGGAGATATACTGAAACGTTAAGCATTTTTTTGTCCCTTAGACAAATTCGTTTTATTAGTAAAATACCGCTGACAAATTAGTCTCCGTTGGATCAACCCACCGGTCCTTACAAAAAATAACTATAGGGAAATTAAAATAACTTTGGTTGCACATCATAATCCACCAGCAAACTCCATAAGACGACGCATGGTGTCATTAATGACGTGCAACGAAAGTCGTTTTAATTTCCCTTTATTTTTATTTTGTGGATTTTCTTCTAGTAGACGAAATACCCAGAAGACTTTTTTGAAGAAATGAACGCCACAAAGGTATAGACATTATTTACAAATATATTGTTTCGATTGTGATATTAAATTTGTTATTACTTATTATAGACTCTTATTTTACTGACCATTAATTTTCGTGGCCATTACTTCAGTATTGTTTTGCATTTTCATGATTATAAACTATTCTTTAGACCGTACTTTTATTATAACTGTGAACATATATTTTATAAAACATACATTTTCTATATACATATGTTGACTTTTAAAAAGTATAATATATCTAAATTGGTTATTGTCGATTCATATGGATGGATAAAAACACAACCTTTCCTGTAATCTTAAATGTATTCCCTAACATTTCATTTTTTTGAATTGTCCTATTATCTCTATTCTTTTATGAGATACACATTTTTAAATAAAGTACTAATATTTTTATAATCTTGAATTTTTTGAAAATGGAGCTCTTAATGCCCACAGTTATATTGAGGATGTCCTCCAAGGAGTTGTCGTTTCATTTGCTAAGGAGCAAATGGAACGACAACTTAAAATGACAACAACGAAAGGTCATTGGAAATCAGTTTATACTGATGCATGATAATGCCAGGCCCCACTTTGCGCGGGGTAACGAGTTAGGACCACGAGTAGTTAACGAGTACCTGGATGAGGTTGGACTACGAAGATTGGAATGGCATTCTTGTAGTCCCGACCTCAATCCAATCGAACATTTTTGCGATGAACTTAAAAGAGTTGTTCGTCGTGGTCCTATTCCACCACAAACTTTACAAGAGCTATGGCTAGCTAGCTTTAGCTCTTGTGAAGAGTTTTCTTGATCTATAGCTTGATATTCATCATGCTATAGATCAAGAAAGAATAACTACCCTTATTCATTCAAGGGCCGGCCGTAGCTCCAGCGTTAGTGTGTCGATCTGCGGAGCGGAAGGTACTGGGTTCGATCCCCAGCCAGTACGATCCCTTTATTTATTTAAATAAAAAATATTTATTTATCTAAATAGAGCGACCAACGAGCCGCCACCTCAAGGAAGGCAATCGCAAACCACCTTTAGTATATTTGCCTTGTACAGCCTTTCAAATAGTGCCGTTCGGATTCGGTAATAAACTGTACGTCCCGTGTACTTGTGAAACACTGATGACACACATCACAAGTACATGCGAGAGGTAGCTGACGCTCTATATAGAGTGTGGCACTGTAAGAAAAAGATTCATTCAAGATCTTGAGCTGTTGCAGAAGGTCAACATACACGCTATTAAAATTATTATAAAATTAATGTTTTTGTCAATAAAAGAATCTCTGAAATAAATACTTTACTTAAAAATATGTAGCTCATAAAAGAATGGAGATAATAGGAGATTATTCAAAAAATTAAATGTTCGGAATACATCTAAGATTACAGGATACAGTATTTTTTTCCAAAATGCCCGTCTCATTTTTTCCGCAGGGTGTTTTGAGTTTATTACAAAAAACAACTTTTTGATTTAGCCCAGTATAAACCCACCTAATCAAAGAATATAAGCTATTAAAATAATAAAAAATAATGCTAATAAATTTATCTTCACACTAATACCATAATCATAAAAATCGGATTACTAAGTTATGAAACATAGATAGTCAAATTTTTAGGGTGGCGGAATGTTGTGCCGGAGTGTATACTTTTACTTATTTAAGCGACACCCTGTTATAAGCCAGATATCATTTTATTTTAAACGTTATGTTCACCAGTTATAATAAAACCACTCTATGTTATTTAACATCGGGTTACTGTCGTTGGCCTAAATAGTTAATTTTTTCCGCAAAATTAGTTTTCGTTCATTCTGCCATAGTTTTATTGATATTATGTTCTTATAAGGTTTATTTAGTTGAAAATGTATTTTTGTTTGTTAAATTTACTTATAAGAATGAAGTGGATTGAAGAGAGGTAATAAATTAGTATTAATAAAAATATACTGCTACAGATTATGAGGCAACATTGACAATTTGAAAAGACTTTTATAATATAGTTCTTGTGATAAGAACTACTACATATGTATGTAATTTAAGATCGTCGTATGTGATAAAACAAGACTACATATTACATAAAAAAAAATAATCAAGGACACCAGTCAACAACTTTATTTTCTTAATATGTTTGTAATCTCTTGGTTTATAAACAGAGTGCTTGGAAAATAATAGAGCTAACTTCTCTCAGCTTCCTTAGCAAGATATCTGGTAATGATACAGATAAATAAACTGAAAAATAAGCATTTCCATTATGTTTGTTTGCAACGAATTATATAATGCCAACATAACAAGGATTTCACTGTTAAAAAAGATGCAGTTTTATTTATACGGAGATTAGTACCTATCTTATATCTCTTAAGAATTACAGTTTTTAGCTTTAAATCCTAATTATTGTCAAGCCGACATCCTAACTTGAAGTATTATTATGTACAAATTTATAATTTATTTTTGTATATAATACTTCAGGCGCACTAATAATTGTTTATACAATATAAGAACGAGGAAATGTTCTGAAAGATTAAAAAAATATGTCAGCAGGATAATCTTTAAGTTGAGATGTCACATTAAAATACATGTATATGTCGTTAAATACATGATCTAATTTGAGTGTATTTAAAAAATCAACTATCGAAAAATATAAAATATTTTCATTATTAATGATAGATAATGTACTATAAGTAGAATTACCCCCTAAAGCATGAATGATAATATAAAAATGTGTAAATAATAATTCTAAAAAATTAAATACTTAAGAATGGAGTACCTACCTTCTTTTATTATAAATGTACGTAACAAATTATTTAAATAACTTTCGATATTTTTATTTTTAGAATAAGCATTTATAAGTTTTTTAAGTGTATTTGCGAATTAACACTTATACACTTTATATTTTTATTTGGAAAATAATTGGATTTATTCTATACAATAGTTTCAAGAAAACTATCAATGAAATACTTACATAATTGTATGTAAAGACATTAGTCAGTTAATGTATGGTGAACTGTTATATTTTGTGAATGGATTGCAGGGTTTTCTTCAATATAAATATTACTATAGAGAAGGGGTCTGTATTTAAATACTTATTAGCTTTTTGTTGTTTTAGGTTCAATTTCGTTTCATATTTTGTTAGTATCTTACTCATTATTTTTAAGAAATTGTTCCCACCATTTAATTCCATTGTTCGGTAAATAGTTTTGACAGGATGTGCAAAAATATGTGCCATAACTGATGAAGAACTTTATCAAAACAGACACACAAGCCAAATGAAAGGCAAGGAAAAACTAATTAACTACAATTGAGATTCAAGTGTGTAATTAAAAAGCAAAAGGGGTATTTTCCAACTAAATGAAAAGCAAAAAATCTTCTCTTGTTTTATTTTTGCAATTATTATAATGAAATGTATTATAGTTTCACCTCAAGTGTAAATGCAACGGTTACGTCATCATACTGAGTGCAACAAATATGATTTTTGCACATGTTGCACACAACATTTTTTCTACGATCGAATTGAAATTTTTATTTAAATGTTTATTAAAAAGCTTTTACAGTAGTTCACAGAATAATATTGCCACAACCACTTTTTAATAACTTATTAACTCGGAAGAAGAACATCTATTATCAAAGAAGGATGGGAAATACCCTTCTCCCCTACAACAGAAAAATGTATGATGGGTTATAGACTGCGTGATGAGTTATAACTCAAGGAAGGGGGCACAATACCGGGTGCGTCTCAAAAGTGGCTCCCCCTATAACTTTTTTATTTTATCAGATAAAAAAACGAGATTTGGTATAATTTGGACATAAATTAGGATGGATTGACGTATTCAATTTTTTTCGGCCGCATCTTGTTTCTCCGGAAATTACTACAAATTTTGATATTTAAATGGCACCCTCTGTATTTTTTACTTTATTTGATAGAAAATGACATTCTGAGTAGAATGGCTTATCATATGTCAACTTTTGACATTTTTGCTTAAAACAAAATTGAATTTTAAACTTCTATCTATAGTGCCATGGCTGTATTAAAAACACTAATTTTTAATTAAGGAGCCTTGGAAAAATAGATTTTATCGTCTAATGTTTTTCGTGTCTTGTCCTGGCCGGGTAAAAGATGCCCAAATCGTATTTTTAATCATATCTAAATTTTTCTAATGGAACAAGTGTGGCTCTAGCATATTTGGAAAAAACATTTTTTACGAATAATTTGGTACCACACACTTGGTATTTCGAGTCAAGTTGTCGTTATGAATCGCATGTTGCAATTTCAAATAAACC